CCGCCTTCGCTGTCAATCAGGCTGCCCCCTGGGGCTGGCTCCGGGGGAAGCGAAAGGGGAGGCGGAGTCACAGGCAGATGGGTCCAGGGTTCTGCAGACCCAAGGACAGGCCACAGCGTCCCCGTCCGCAGTCCGCCCCACCCCTTGGTTTGTCCCGCCCCTACTTTACGCATTGCGGGGTGGCTGGAGGTTGGCAACTTGCCCCTGGCGCCGCACGTGGCGCCCTTTCGGGGTCCGGGGAGAGAGAAATCCGGCGACGACCCCCCCTTCCCCCTCCACCCCCTGGCTGAGTTGCCGCTGCCACTGGGCAGGGGCTGCGGTAACCAAGCTGAGCAGACTGCTGTAGGGAGGAATGACGTCAGGATGTGTGAGAGCCAAGGAAGGAGCGAGTAGGGGAGAAAGAGCCAGAGAGAGCGAGAGCGAGAGGGAGAACCCGCCGGCCGGGTGGAATGAGATTAGAGGGCCGTAGGAGAGAGAGGGGGAGAGGAGAGAAGCCGCTGCGGAGGACGACTGGTGGCAAGTTCCGGTCCCGGGGCTGCGGGTCCAGCTGGGGTAGGAACTGCTGTCCAGGGAAGCTAGAAGGAAAGGGGCGGAGGGTGGGGTGGAGGGAGGAGAGAAGAAAGGAGAGGGGGAGACGGAAGGTGGGGAAAGGAGAGGCGGAGGGTGAGAGAGGAAAGTGCCAGAAGGAGAAAGGAGCGGTAAGAGAGTGGGGGGAGAGGCAGGAGAAAGGAAAGGGAGAAGAGGGTTAAAGGTACATGAGGGAGGAGAGCAAGAGGGAGATACAAGGTGGAGAGAAGACTTCAGAAGGAGGGAGAACAGAGTGGAAATGTGGAAGGGAAACAGCCCCGGGGGGAACCAGGGAGTAGCCATGGAGGAAGAACTGGGGGGACAGGGGAACTGGGGTCTGGAAGATGCCCCAGGCCTCTTGGCCATGGCCTCCCTGCCCATCATGCCCACATGGCCTTTGCCCCTGGTCTCCTCAGCCTTCACCCTGCTGCTCGGAGCCCTCACTTCCCTCTTCCTCTGGTACTGCTACTACTTAGGCTCCCAGGATCTGCAGGCCCTGGCGGCTGGGAGTCGGGCTGGGGGTGTCAGTGGTGGGCCTGGGGGATGCTCTGAGGTCGGCAGGCCAAGCCCAGGGAGCTCTGGGGAGGCTGGGAAAGGACCTAGGACAGAAGGACTAGTTAGCCGCCGCCTTCGGGCCTATGCCAGGCGCTACTCCTGGGCAGGGATGGGTAGGGTGAGGCGGGCAGCTCAGGGTGGCCTAGGCCCTGGAGGAGGGCCAGGGGTCCTGGGCATTCAGCGCCCAGGCCTGCTTTTCCTGCCAAACTTGCCCTCTGTGCCCTTCGTGCCGCGGGATGCCCAGCGACATGATGTGGAGCTTCTGGAAAGCAGCTTCCCTGCTATTTTGCGGGACTTTGGGGCTGTGAGCTGGGATTTCTCAGGAACTACCCCTCTGCCTCGGGGCTGGTCCCCACCACTGGCTCCAGGGTGCTACCAGCTCCTGCTGTACCAAGCAGGCCGGTGCCAGCCCAACAACTGCCGCCGGTGCCCTGGGGCCTATCGGGCACTGAGGGGGCTGCGGAGCTTCATGAGTGCCAACTCCTTCGGCAACGCTGGCTTTTCTGTCCTTCTTCCGGGGGCCCGGCTTGAAGGCCGCTGTGGACCCACCAATGCCCGGGTCAGATGCCATCTGGGTAAGTAGATGATGCCTGCAGACAACCTCCTTGCCTCTCCTCTGCCACCAGAGCTTTGTACACTGTGTTCTGATCATGCCTCTTCTCAGAATCTTCCACTACAACTGTTGCCCACAGCAGTGGCATTTCCCGAGTTTCAGTTACCTGCAAACTATCTTCATAAGCTTTGCCATAGTCACTTACCACCTGGACTGCGTTTCTTCATATGGACTCCCCCCACATTTTGTTTTACTTACTTAAAAGGAATTTTTATAGAACAATGATAATCAGTATTACTTGTTCTAAATAGAGAGTAATCATAAAAACAAATTTAAACTTCAAAAAAGGCTTTACAAATTTTGGCTAAATGCTCTAGTCTGAGACACAAGCCTACACTCTCTTTACTTAGAAGGGAGCAATATTAGTAAGGTGTTAGTGTCATGGTAGCACCAAACTTGAGATGCTCTTTTTGATGTTTTAAAGATGGAGAAAATGGAAAGGAAAACAAGTTTCTGGTTATTTCATTCCATGATCTTAGTGTGCTACCAGATGGATGTACCCTCGCCTCAGGATCAAGTCTAGATCCTTTCTCTCCTCACCTCCCATCTGTTCCCTTCCTTGCCTTTTCTCCCACCGTGCTTTTAAAATAAAGGCCTTCTGGCTAATCCTGGCAGACACCACATTTATGCTATACCCTTAACCTAAAATGTCTTTACCTTTATCATTTTATCACCTCCTGGAAAACTCGTACTTAGTCTTTAGCACTCATATTTCCAAGTGTCACACCTCCTCTGGGATGTCTTCTTATTCCTCATCATTTGAGTGGCTGCTCAGTTTTCTCACAGTACTCTGCTGTGTGGTCCCTGGGCAAGGATGAAGTCATTAGTTTCTTATCTCGCAGGGAGGGAAGGCCCAGCACATAATAGGTTCTTGAGTTAAATTGTCAGAAGCCTAGGAGGAGATGCCACTTCCTCCAGGAAGCCTTCCCTTTTTTCTAAAACAGAATAGATTGTGCTTTGCACTGCATTTCCCCTACCTCCCAGTACTTTTCAGCCAGTATCTATAATAATAAAAGGGTAATATGCTAATTAGACCAGCCGTCTTCCTGACATCATTCCTGACGAAACCAGGGCCTGAGGGAAGCCAGCCAGGTCCCGGGTGCCTGCGGGCGGCCCAAGGGAAGCAACCAGGGTCCTGGGTGCCAGAGGAAGGAAGGCCTATTCTTGCACAAATTTTCGTGCATCGGGCCTCTAGTTGTTTTATAATGATATTCCAGTCACCTTCCAGAGAGCAAGACCTATTCCCACAGAACCTGGTGCTTAGGACCCTCAGTCTGCTTTTTGTGAATGGGATGGGCTCCTTCCATAGAGGCTGGAATGCTGGATGCCTGGGTCTTTTCCCACAGGTCTGAAGATCCCCCTTGGCTGTGAGCTGGTGGTTGGGGGTGAGCCCCAGTGCTGGGCTGAGGGACACTGTCTCCTGGTGGATGACTCCTTCCTGCACACAGTGGCTCATAATGGTAATGGGGTCCCATTCTGCTAGAAGGGATGCGGGACTAAGAGTGGAGGGGAATAGATGAGAGGCTGCAGACTCAGGCCCACTGGCTTGCTGTTCCAGTGCCACCATTTTCTAGTTGCATAACCTTGAACAAGTCATAATTTCCAATCACCTGTGAAATGAGGAAACTGCTTTGTTGGTCAGGTGGCTGAAGGATTAAATAAATTAATGTAGGTGCAATGTGGTTAACAGTACAAGACCCTGGGCCTGGATTGGAGTTCCTGTACTCCTCTGGCACCTACATGGTTAGATGCTACCAAGTAGGTGGCAACACCTTAACTACACGTATGTTGTCAGGCCTAAGGGCCTCCTCCACCCTTGTCAAGGGGAGTGCTAACCTTCTCTCCTTTAATACAATACATACCCCTGTGGCACTTACTAGCTCCTTGAACTTGGGCAAGTTATTTAACCTCCTTGTGCCTGTTACTTTGTATAAAATAGGAATAATTATGGAACTATCTCAGAGTTTGTTTTGATGATTAAGAGTTAATGCACATAATGAACAGTGCCTGGCATTTACTACAAAGTGTTTGCTTTTTTGGTTACTTGGTGAGTGCTCTGGCATATAAGTGCTTAATGTCAGCTACTCTCCTGCCTCCATCCCCATGTACCCTAGGCTCCCCTGAAGATGGACCTCGAGTGGTCTTCATCGTGGACCTTTGGCATCCCAACGTGGCTGGAGCTGAGCGCCAGGCCCTCGACTTTGTCTTTGCACCAGACCCTTGAAGGAAGGTGTTGCCTTCACACATCTGGGCTGGAGATATGCTGCACTCAGGGGTGGCTGCATGGTTGCCAGGACCTCCTCTCCAATGCAGGAGGCGGGATGGGGCTGAGGGTGGGAACTTGCTAGTGAAACATCGAAATACAGATCTTAAATTTTCTTTTAACTCCTGACTACTTTCTTCCCAGCTACCAGCCCCACGGTAGGGGTGCACGTCTTCCCATCCAGCTAGCTAGGTACCCCCTTAACACAAGCCATCGCCCTGGCCATCACCCTGGGAGTTAGCACCAGATCCTCAATTCAACTTTATTTCAATAATTTAATAGAAAATTAAAATAATAAATAATATGATACAGATTGAGAAGACAGCTGAGCTGGTGCAGGCCCAGGCCAGCCTAATACAAACTTAAAGAGGTAGGGAGGATGGAAAGGGAAAGACGGGGACAAACTACCCTGCACAATGGCTGGGAGGCAGCTCAGAATGTGGAGGGTGTTATTAAGGGCTGGCTTGACACTTTGGCATGTACAATGTACTAAAAAAAGAGAACTCTAAATCATTTTAAACCAGCTGGTAAGGGAAAACAGCAGGGCCAGAGTGGTAATGAGGGAATGAATGTAGGCCTTCTGAAGGGATCTGACTGAGGGAAGGGGCTGGAATGTACCATGTCATTAGCAATGAAGTGAGAATGAATGGAAAAGGGCCAAAGTGAAAGTACCATGCAATAAAAGGACACAAGGGAGACCCACGACTTGGCCAGCAAAGCCGGGGCAAAGGTATGGGAAGGGGAGGACAAGAAAGAGGGACTGGGTCCCAGTGGCAGAAGAAAAACAGGGAGAAAGGTCAAGATCAGTCCTTGAAGACAATCTGTTGGCCATGAGGACGCTCATCATGGGTGATGTGGCGCCGGACATGGATCCTGCGGACACGATGCTCTCGGTTCTCCTCATCCTCCCCTCGGGCCATCCCACCACCTCCAGCTACACCCCCTGTGGCCTCCAGGAGGGCTGGGTCTGGGCCCCGGGGAGTCTCGTAGATCAGGATGTTCAGGGTCTCCTCAAAGATCCGGGCCTCTGGGAATTCCACCTGCAAAAGGCCAGCAACCCCCAGCTCCCATCCTCTGGTCCAGCCACACAGCAACCCCTTTCCCCCAGCTGCTCCTGCACTGGCACACCTCCTAGTCTTTGCAATCACAGGTTCTTTGGCCTGGACTGTCCTCTGTACAACTTCTTAACTCAGCAAAGTCACACTTATACTTCAATGTCCAGCTCTGAAGTCAGGCAGTTATTTATTTTCTCTCCTTTGCTACTAAGTCTTGTGGTATATTCTTTCATTAGACAAATCTTTCTGAATAAGTGCACTGTACCAGGTGTTGTTCTAGACCAGGGGTGGGCAAACTTTTTGACTCGCGGGCCACATGGGTTCTTAAACTGGACTGGAGGGCCGGAACAAAAGCATGGATGGAGTGTTTGTGTGAACTAATATAAATTCAAAGTAAACATCATTACATAAAGGGGTATGGTCTTTTTTTTTTTAGTTTTATTCATTTCAAATGGACAGGATCCGGCCCGCGGGCTGTAGTTTGCCCACGGCTGTTCTAGACACTGGGAACATAGCAATGAACAAAACAAAGTTCCTATCCACAGGAAGTTTACATTCTAGGGGGAGGACACAGACATACATTTAATAAAATATAAACTGTCAGATGGTCACAAATGTAATGGGGGAGGGGGGGAACTATAGCAGGAAAGGGGGTGGGGATAATCATGGCCAGGAATGTTCTCAGAGGGTATTCAGAGAAGGCCTCACTGAGAAGATGACACCTGACCAATGGACAAAGGAGAAGAGGGAGAGAGCCAGGTGGGAAACTGGAGGAAGAGCAGTCTGGGAAGAGACAACAGTAAGTGTAAAAGCTCTGGCACAGGAGTGGGTTTGGTGGATGATTTGAACATCAGCAGCAAGGCCAATGCACCGGCACAGAGTGATGAAGTAGAAAGGGACGAAACAACGAGGTGACTGGGGTTCCCCTTGTGTGTCTTGGAGGAATATAACTAACATAACTCTTAACAAGCTACCTTCTAATTATTGGTTTATCTTGTTTTCCCAATAACAGAGGAAACTTCTTAGAGCTGGGCCATTCATTCACGCATCAATGTTTCCTAGCTTCCACTATGAGAGACCCTTCTATGAGCCCCACTAGTGCTAGAGAAGTTGGAAGAAAAAAAAGATACAGCCCTACTCTCAAGGAGCTAACACCTTACTACTGACACCCCTCAGCATGCTAAGGAAGAAGAATGACCAACTTTGTCTGCGACTGTCAGTGTGAACGTTCATGAGTGAAGGTGTCTCAAATAAAGTGATGCTTAACTTGGGTCTTAGAGATTAAGTACAAGTTCATCAGGCAGACAGGGATGAGGACAAATAATCCCAAGAAAAAGGAGTAATGTTGCCGAACCGGTTTGGCTCAGTGGATAGAGCATCGGCCTGCAGACTCAAGGGTCCCAGGTTCGATTCCCGTCAGGGGCATGTACCTGGGTTGTGGGCACATCCCCACTGGGGGACGTGCAGGAGGCAGCTGGTCGATGTTTCTAACTCTCTATCCCTCTCCCTTCTTCTCTGTAGAAAATCAATGAAATATATTGTTAAAAAAAAGGAATAATGTAACCCTGGCCGGTACCTCAGTGGTTAGAGTGCCAGCTGAGCCCTGAAAGGGTAGTGGGTTCAATTCCTGGTCAAGGGCATGTACCTGGGTTGCAGGTTTGATCCCCAGCCCCGGTTGGGGCACGTGCAGGAGGAAACCAATGTCTCTCTCTCACATTGATGTTTCTTCCCCTCCCCCCTTCCACTCTGTCTAAAAGTCAATGGAAAAAATATCCTAGGGTGAGGGTTAACAACAAAAAGGAATAATGTGCACGAAGTTGGGGAGGTGTGAAATAGCATTTGATACATAGAGACTTTCAAGATCCTGGTATCTGAGGCACATCCCTCATGAAGGTCAGAAGAGACCAGGCTGGTAAGACTGTCAGAGGCAAGATGGTATGACATCATGATTTACACAGTTAAGACCCAGGACTTGGATCCTGACTCTCAGCAATAGATTCCCCCTGCCTGATCTGCTCGGCTGCCTTTGTCCAGGGTCCTGGTCCTGCCAACCACCACAGCCCTCCCTGACCAGGCCCTGAACCCCTTCTGACCTTGGTCTGCTTCTTCTCCGTGGCATAGACAATGGAGGTGCAGCACACCTCGGCGATTTTGCGGCCCTGCCCGTAGAAAGACCAGCAGCAGATCTCGTCCCCCAGTACATCCTTGAGGAAGAGCAGCCGCCCATGGAAGCGCAGGGCCAGTTTGTCAAACAGCTCGATGTTCTTAAGTAGGTTGTCATCTGAAGTGCTGAAGACCAGGGGCCAGGAGGCCTCAGCACAAGTGGCTTCCCACCCTCTGTTCCCCCCAGCATAGGGCCCAGACACCCAGCACTCCGGTCCTGCCCAGGGGTTTGGTGCCCAGCAGGGACCTTCCTCCACCCCTGGGGCCAGGCCACGCAGGCCTCTGCAAGGAAGCAGCATTTGCTGAGCAAATCCCAGCACAGTAGAGTGGCTACCTGTGCAGTCTCTGGAGTCAGGCTGACCACCTGGCATCCTAGCTCCACCACTTTTTAACTGGGTGAAACTAGGCAAATTACTTCACCTCTCAGTGCCTCAAACTGGAGATCACAACAATACCTCCTTCAAACAATTGTGAGGATTATGTATTAATATATGTAAAGCACTTAGAATAATGCCTGTTACAACATAAGCACTTAGTAAATGCTAGTCATTATCATCAAATCCTCACCAAAACCCATTTGCTGATAAAACTAAAGCTCAGACGTGAAAATGACCTGTCCAAGGTACCCAGTGAGCAAGTGGCAGAGCTGGAATTCCCATTCAGCAGGCACTCCTTCCGTCCCTCCGTGTGGCCATAGCCCTCCCCTTGGGCCAGAAGCAGGGCTGTCTTGAGCCCAGGTTCCACCCAGGGCGCCTCCCTAGCCCCTGGCAGTCACCTGGTGTAGGAGTACTTGTTGTTACTGCGGTTGTGCAGGAGCTTCACCACGGGCTGTTGGGGGAGAGAGGATGGAGAAGGGTGGGCTCAGGCTGCGGGGAGAGGCCCCCAACCTCCACCCTAAGGACTCAGGGCCTCACCTTGGAGGTGCTGGCCAGGAGCTGCTGCTCCTCCTGGGGAGATGTCACCATGGGGACGAGGCACAGCTGGGACAGGGTCTCCCTTTTTTGCTGGAGAAGAAGCGGAAGGTGGTTAACAGCACAACCAAAGGTCACTCACCCACTTAAAAGTCTTCAAAAGCTGCTTGCCACCTTTGGGGGAAAATCCAGACTCCTTAGTTGTCCACAAGAGCCTGCAGCACCTGGCATCTCTGATCTTGTCCCTACCTCTCCCCCCGGCTTGCTGGGCTTCAATCCCACCGATGGCTTGTTGTGTGGCACATCCGGTTTGTGCCAACCTAACCCTTTGCTGGTTCCCACTACCAGAAATGTGCTGGGCTGCATATCGGGCACTTTGGCCAGATGGGTCATGCTGTGCTGTCTGTTCCTAAAACACATAGATAGGAAGGTACTGACATCAGGCCAGGCCTTGAGATATGGTCTCATGGCCTCTTCCCAGCACGCAGGCCGTCTTTCTCAGAAGGCCCGTAAGTCTCATTCCAAATTTGGGAGACAAAAGACTGGGAAAAGAATAAAGAGAGTGTCCTCTATATTGGGGGGCCCAGAATTTGAAAGACACCTTTTCTCTGGGCCTCCACAAAATTTAATAATAAAATGTAACTCCTGTAGTAGGCACTGCAGTTCAGCCTTTGCTTCAGCCGAGTGCTGGGACTGTGGTCAGCTGGCCAGCTTAATAAAGGCTCTTAAATTTAAATTCTGAGTCAGTGGTCTATCTTGCTGAGCCAACCCATAACAGAGACACTCTGCACTAAGTTTCTGGCTCCTCCACATCATTCAGATCTCAACTCAAGCAGTGCCCCTCGGGGTGCTGGCCCTCCTCCCTAAGCTCCCTGGCTACCGCAGCCTCCTCTACTTCCTCTTCACAGTATCAGTTCACTTTCTTCACAGCACTCAGTTCCTCACGTTTTCTCAGTTTTTAGTCTATTTGCTAAGGTCTGTCTCTTCCCATGT